GAAACATAAAATTTTATTAATAAATTATTATATTTTATTTTATTAAATAAAAAAATTAAATTTATTAAAAATAAACAAAGAAGCTTTAATTAATGAATTTTGATGGAAGTTAAATTGAAAAGTTTGTCTGTTTAGACCATTGACTAATTGACTAAAAGATGATAGTTCAATATCCACTATCAAGCAACTAGTTCTTGATAATTGAGTTTGAATTTGAATCCAGGCTTTAGAATTCAAATTCAATGCCAGGATAAAGAATTATAATTCAAATAGGCTTTAGAATTCTAATTCAACTTGCTCTCTTGATAAGATTACAAGGTATTGCACCTTTCCTGATTCATTCATACATTTAATTTTGAGAAAGATTTATAAAATAATTAGTCAAATTATTGAAAAAAAAATATTAATCAACTAATTGCTCTGTCCCATAAAAGAAAAAAAAAATCTGATTTTGACTATACCACATTTATCAGATTGGAAGGATAATAGTATGTCCATATATATACCATGGCTAATGTAAATATTAATTCTGACAGATGGGAGACAGAGAAGGATCAAGGCCAACTATAGTCCCTCTACTTTCAATTTTCATGTATTGTTTTTTCCATAGTTTAAAATCATTTAAAAACCTCCTTTTACTCTTCCAAAACATACTATTGTCCATCATCTACTTTAAATCTTCTTACTACTCACCTCCCTCATCTAACATTGAGTTAACATTGTTACTAACGGTCATCTAACAAATTTTTTTACTGTCAAACTTCAACTCATCCATCGATTTATTATTTTTTTGGTTAAATTTCAATTAGTGAACCTTACTAATTCCATGTCAGCAACCTAGCCTAGCCCCACGGGTTTGGTGTTGACACCTATTTCATGCTGTCAGCACCATACATTTAGCCTTTAAAAGATAGATATTGAATGAAATGAATAAAAGTGTCAGCACTTACATTATGATATCAACACTAAATACCCTTTAACTTTAAAGATTTTCCTTTTTATCATGGTACTACTTCTTATCTCATAGGATTTTTTACACTCTATAAATACTTATTTAAAACCAAATTATGAAACTTTTTGGGGGGAGACCAAGAGAGAGATAGTTAAGAGTAACTTAACATAAAAAAAATTAAATTAAATTTGAAATTTTATATTATCAAACTAATTTTGCTTATCTTTAAATTTTTTTTATAATGTTTGATACTCTTATATTTATCTTGGGATATTTTATCTTATTTTTTAATTATAAACTAATTCGGTCATCTAAGATACAGTATAACATAATCAATTTGATATAAAATTTCATGATTATTATACTTTCAAGACTTATTATTTTATGTAAAGTATATATTATTCTTAATATTTTTCAATAATTGATCACTATTAAAACTAATTTGGAGAGCATAACTGAGACTAACTTTTAGTAATATATATCATGAATTGAACAAAAACTAGAAATGGATCAATGTGATTTGTGTAACATAAGTAATAAGTCAACTTAATTTTCTATGTAAACTAAAGAATTTCACAGAATATAATTTATATTTATTTATTTAAATTTACATTAAAATATAACAGGTCAATATGTGAAGATATATTTAGTATAACTTACGAAAGTATACAAAATAAAATAAGAAATTCTATTATCACATAAGTATTAAAGATCTTGAAATTAAATATATTAAACTAAATTCTATATTAGTTGACTATAATGAAATCAAATGCATTTGAATTTTTCAATTTTTGGTGTCACTTAAAGTAAATTTAGTTTTCCTTTAATTAGTTCATTTAAATTATTTAATTTTAATTGTTTAAATAAAATTAAAATTAGTTAATTTTGAAATTTAATTAGTCTATTGTATTTGAGGGACAAAACTTGATTTTTATCATTATATTACTTGAATTGATTATTATTCTTATTAGAATAAAATTAGCTCATCAAAAGTGCTGCATGCGCTCATTTGAAATTGTTTGATGAGGACGGTGATTTGGACATTGAAGTTCACTTCAGACTCATTACTAAGCAATTTAATTGAGAAATTTAGATGAGTTGTATGGAATAATTCAAAAAAAATTATTCCATGGGTTACTGACATGGAATTAGTGAGGTCCACCAGTTGAAATTAAAAAAAAAAATTAATGGATGGGTTGAGGTTCAATGGTGAAGAAATCCATTAATTGGATGATCGTTAGTAATGGTGTTAGTTAGGTGTTAGGTGGGGGAGGTTAGTAATAGGAAAAGTTAAAGTAAAGGGAGGACAGTAGCTTGTTTTGGAAGAGTAGAGGGAAATCTTTGAACAAGTTCAAAGCATGGGGAGGTCAATGAATGAAAATTAAAAGTAGAGTCACTATAGTTGGCTTTAACCTGATAGACAATGAGAGAGTGCATTCACATTGTGCCAGAAAGCCGGAGTAAATGGCCAGCCAAAAGTATGGAAGTTAGATTAGAGAATTCCAAAAAAGGACAAAAACTTTATACTAATCCAACAAGGCCCTTCCCTTCCTTTCCCTATATAAACTCTCTTCTTTTATCCCATGACTATCTCTCTCTCTCAATTTCTCTACTTCTTTTTCTCTCTAATCTGCAACCATGGCTGCTCAAGTGATGCCTGATCAGAAAACCCTCCAAGGCCTCCGTGGTTTAGACTTAGAAAGGGACAACGCCAACCCTCTCTCTCCCAAAAGGTAGTGCCTCCTACACAATCATTCTACATTTTCGTACCAGATAAATCGCTTCCATTCATTGTTCAATTTCTAGCAGCTTTCATCTTTTCTCCCACAATCCCATCAGCGTTGTCCTTAACCACTGAATTTCTGAATCAATGCATCATTGGTAGAATTAAACTCAAGATAATAATGTTGATCTTGAGGAACAATTGATAACTTTAATGTTACACAGTAGCTGGAAATTTGGACAATTTATTCAACACCCTTTTCTGTTTTGTTTTACCAAAGAAGGCTGAACTCATTAATTAATCCCTGTTTGTTTTTTTCTGTTGTACAGACTGGAAGGGAAAATTGCCATTGTCACCGGCGGCGCAAGAGGGATCGGGGAGGCTACGGTGAGGCTCTTTGCCCGACACGGTGCCAAGGTTGTCATTGCAGACGTTGAGGATACCCTCGGAGCTGCCCTGGCCAACTCTTTAGCTCCGGCCGTTACTTTCGTCCACTGTGACGTCTGCTCCGAAGAAGACATTGAGAACTTGGTGGGGTCCACCATCTCCCGGTACGGCCGCCTGGACATCCTCTTCAACAATGCGGGTGTTCTTGGAAATCAGACGAAGCGGAAGAGCATCGTGAATTTCGACGCGGATGAGTTCGACCAAGTAATGCGCGTGAATGTGCGTGGCACGGCGCTTGGAATCAAGCACGCCGCACGTGCGATGATTCCGAGAGGAGGAGGAGGCTGCATCATTTCAACGGCAAGCGTCGCCGGAGTCATGGGAGGGCTCGGGCCACACGGCTATACAGCTTCAAAACACGCCATCGTGGGGCTGACGAAGAATGCGGCGTGTGAGCTCGGACGGTACGGGATTAGGGTCAACTGCATTTCACCATTTGGGGTGGCGACGTCGATGCTGGTGAATGCATGGAGGAGTGAGGAAGAACAGGAGGAATGCATGAGTTTTGGGGTTCCATCGGAGCGAGAAGTGGAGAAGATGGAGGAGATCGTAAGGGGGTTGGCCAATTTGAAAGGGACGACTCTTAGGCCTAAAGACATCGCCGATGCTGCTCTTTATCTTGCTAGTGATGACTCTATATATGTGAGTGGACATAATCTTGTTGTGGATGGTGGAGTCACCACTTCAAGAAATTGTGTTGGCCTATGAAAGTATTTTGTGTATTTTTTTACTATAAAATGTTTCATCAAGTTGTTGCTGTGTTAGTGGACTCCCTAAGTGTTGTTTATAATTTTCAATTATATGAGTTTGAATTGACTCTTTTGAGTTCAAAGTTAATTAAGTACTTTCAACATCCATCGTAAGTTTTTTAGTACTTCTGATTATTTGTACAATGATAATTGAGTTTTGTTTTTTCCTTTTTCAATACAGACGACACAAAAAACAAAAAAAACAAAAAAAAAGAATAAGAAGCCAAAATCATTGAAATATCTTTGATAAATTTGAAAATACTAGAATTTTTTTAAACAACAATATTATTAACAATGCGTACAAAAGTACGCAACTCATACAACTGTCTGATGGTAATCAATACAGTTCAAGAGTATAAACCAGCAAAAAAAAGATAACACGTTGGAATTTAAAACAATTAATATTTAATATTTAATATTTAATATTTATTAATATTTAT